TACAACGCTAGAATCCGGGTTTCGATACCCGTGGCGGGCAGAGCACAAATAGCCCATTGTGTAGCTTTGTGCTTAATTACAAGCAAACACGAAAATTAGGCAAAGAGAAATAGCGGAATATTTTCCTGGTCAACGACAATTTGTAGAATTCTTAAAAGTACCTTGATTATAAAATTCGACACTAGAAGACTCATAAATACATTAAACAAAGTGAAGCTTATTTCACTCAGGAATATACTCTGTTTGAAAACAGTTACAGAAGCAGAGAACGTATGACTAACGTATTTGATAAAAACAAGTAGTCAAAGAAGACCGTCTTTGACGTAACATACATTTACGTACAATAAATGTTTGTTTGTTTTGTAATTAAGCACAAAGCTACACAATGGGCTCTCTGTGCTCTGCCCGCCACGGGTATCGAAACCCGGATTCTAGCGTTGTAAGTCCGCAGACATGCCGCTGTGCCACTGGGGGGCTCGTGGAGTCAATTATGCGATGATGCTATATCTCTCCGGAGAGTATAATTTCTTATTAAACTAACTTTATATAAACCAAAAAGAGGACTGTCACATTAAAATGCGGACTGATAAGAATTTTAACATCCATAATTGTAAAACAGATAGAAATATTAAAGATTATGTTTGTCTTGTTGGTTACCTAAAAATATCGGCTCGGTGAAGACACTTCAGTAAATTTACTGTTGTCAAGTCCTGGAAAAAGTTACAGGCTGTTTAAAAAGTTATCCTTTTGTGCTATCAGGTCAGTAACATAACTGTAATACAGGAGTATTTGTTTTGAAGGATTAATGAACAGAAAATGACTTGGAAACTTGTTTAAACCGTTCACCTAACAAAAAATGGTAATTTGGCGTTGCGCTGGTTATATCTATAGCGCTTTACCTTATAAAGTGAAAACAATACATGCTGGCTACTTTACGATTATCTCCTTTGTATATTCTGGGCTTTGGCTTAAGGTAAACTTGAAGTTGTTGTCCCTCTGCAACGGCGGTAAATTTTCAGATTTACAACGCTAAGACCCAAATTTCTATTCCCCACAATGGACACAGCAGATAGATGTGGCACTGTTCTAACGCGAACAAATAAACCTGATAAAGCTAGTTACTCACTGTAAACTGTATATTTCACAATAAACCAATGTTTTAGGCTCAGACTATTTCATGCAGAAGCAAAACAGTAATTAATTGGTATCTCTAAGAAAAGCCCTTCCCAGTGGTACAGCGGTAGGTCTGCGGACTCACAACGCTATAAACCGGGTTTCGATACCCGTGGTGGGCAGAGCACAGATAGCCCATTGTGCAGCTTTGTGCTTAACTTCAAACAAACAAACCATGAGCCCTACATTTATTTTCATTTACGTATATTTCATTGAAGATCAGGTTGTGATCATTTGTGAAATATTTTACTCACTGATCAATTTGCTGTCCTGTGGATACATACGATGAATATTTTTAACGCATCTTTAACGCATCTCTTAACGCATCGATAGAATATGATTTAAAATTGTACTTCCCGTAACAAAATCTGTATCTTTAAACTAATGTTTGTAAATAACGTTTTACAAATATGCAAAACTCAGATTCTCAGCTTACTGAAACTGTATGAATAAAGATCATATTACATACGAAATTGCTGACAGAAAACCTACATCAGTAGAAGTCCGACAATACATTATTATTTAGTAATATCAGATAAGTGACTCTATGTCTTTAGAAAATGAGGTATCATAACACAGATACTTGTATTCAATTATGCATCATTGATTTATGTATTTTTTTGTTTTTTTTTTTGGCTGCTTGTTCATCCAATAAAAGTTAAGTTGATGCTTTACTAGCACGAGCTGTGAGATAGTCCGCTGTTTTCTGTGTTGTTGTTTTCAAATGCCCTACTGATTTAAGTCTTATAATACAATTGATAACAGATGTTATGCATGGTATACGCTGCGTTAGAGAAGGTCTCATGTCTTTAAGTTTAGGTTATGTAAGAAGTTGTGGACAAATAATTAGATGAGTCTCGGTCGGCCAACCAATACCTTCGTGACAAATGAATCAAACTTGTAGAAACGACTAATATTGTTAATAAAAAAATCCACCACGGGTATCGAAACCCGGTTTCTAGCGTTGTAAGTCTGCAGACATTCCGCTGTGCCACTAGGGGGGGGGGGGGTCATGGTTAGCTCCAGCTATTAACACTAATATTCTGAACATTATTTGTATACCTTATAGGGCATTACTTCAATGTCGTGAAAAGCCCAAAATTTCAACAAAGAAATATGTTTCATGTTGTAACAGGTGGAAATATACACTTGTATTCACTATCTGATTTGCATTATTTGCTGAGTTGAGAATTAAAATTACTAATGTATTTGACTCAATTCCTGAAATTTTTCGTAAAACATATTAATGAAGATTATATTTTTGTCTGCTTTAAACGGAATAAACATACAATTCAATTATTTTAAATTGATTATCATCGCAAAAAATTATATATATCTGTGTGTGTATATACGTTCTGAAACAAATCATAACCGTACAGTGTACGTACTGGCAGTGAATCTGTTTACATTAGTTAACATATTGTACGGTAAATTGCAAATATAACTATTATAATTTCCTTTTGAGTCAGCGGTAAATTTACGGAGTCACAACGCAAAATCTTATCGTGTAGCTTTGCATTGAAAACAAACAATTAAGTATCATCCTACATTAATTCACGTTGTTTGAATTTGTTTGTTTGTTTATACGCGAACCATTCCCATAGTTTTGGAGCTTGCAGGACCAAATTTAGCAAACGGACTTGGGAAGCAGAGGCAGTGAATTTACTTATATGGCGTAGTCCCTAATAAGCGGATATGGACTTTAACGCGCCCAAAAGGTCACTCAGGTTTTATGTGGATCAATATTTAGGTTCGTAGGGT